GCTTTCAAAAAGTTATTATAACTCTACTTCGTTTTGGCGCTGTTTCGACGACACTACATCACAACTCTTAAACGTGGTCAAAGTGTTATTGAAAATAAGTAAGGGACTTTTATATGTTAGGTACAGACTTATATAGAGACGAAGATCGGATGGTAGATGACTAAACATTAAAGTATCTCAAGCGTCAAGTTATTAAGTGAAATCGATAGATACGATTGTGAACCGCGCGGGCACGAGAGGTTACGGAGCATAAAAGAAAATCCCGAGAAGGAAATTATTTGCTGAGCGTTCATTGTTAACTATGATCAGAGTGCGCGCCGTGCCTTTTCTTTAGAATTGCTACAAATGTTTGGAAGTACGTCAGCTTCATGCCATTTTGTTGTTTTACAGCGACCGACACGACTATTTCAGACATAGTTTACAGTTCGTTAATACTGCATTCCAAGAAAACTACTTCTCCATTCGAATATATCTTCCTTTGTTACGTAATCTTTCCTGTTCAGATTTCGTAATCGCTACAAGGCTACAACTGAACAACATCATGCAAAAAGTTAGGAAGTTCAAACATTTTAAAACACAAATTACGTGTCGAAACAAACTTGTTACAAAGTTTAAGCAAATAAACATAAGTCTTATAGGCGAACAACGTCCATTATCTTAATTTTCTTGTTCCATTTGAGCACTTTAAAATCATTTTGGCAGCAATTTACAAAGCGCTCCAACAGAACGTATCAACGTAATTACCGAAGTCGACACGTAAACAGCGGGCAGCCTCGAACCCGCTTGACACTGGTCGCACGTCCAAACATACTTGATCTCCCTCGACCCGATGTCCATTTAACGGCACTAATGAGTGACGAGGGGTGTTTGTGTCTTATCAGGGGCCTGCTTGAAGTGGCCGAACGGTGGCTATCAGTTTGAGGTAGGTAGTGACTAGTCAGTATCTACGACTAGATGCGAACACGGCACGTGCGGGTGGCAATAAAACCACATACTTCACTTTTACTGCGGCCGATCACGCGATCTGTGGAGACACTCATATCGCAAGAAGTAGATAGGCTTCGAGGAAACTGTTATTTGTGCAACCGCCTCTACTATTTAAAGTTACGTGTCTCCCAGTTTGCATGCGTGGCGTGCATTATCTTTGTACAATTCAGTGATCTAACGCGAAGACGGTATTGTACAGCTAAGGTCTGAATGCTAAGTGAAACTTTTGTTTACAGTACGGGTGTGGCTGGCCATGTCTGGCTCGCTCTGTACTTGCACTATTGTTCCTTGTCAACCTAGCATAAAGATATCGTCTGTGGTCAACTCAAACTCGTTTGACAACTACTATAGAGACAATTTCGCAGTTTGGAATCAAAACTACAAAGTTCACGCTCCGATTTGTCGAGTATCGATCTAAAAAGTGTAGTAACGTCTCTAGAGATGTCTATCTGCCTATCACTGAGTTTGATAGCCTCTCTAAACTAATTAACTGCCGACGATAATCTAAGTAGTTACAATTAATTACCTTATTTGATCGTGGCAGATAACTGTATGCGTGTTTACATTGGTATTGTATTGATATGTGGAATTTTCGTGTTATGACATAGTAATGTGACACGCGCAAGCTCAGTATCGGCACGTGATTGCGGCGCGCGTGCTCCGACGAGAACAAAGGAATGCACTAACAAGATACACTGCATTTTAGACACTACCTCAATAAACACATGTATTCAAGTTCTAAATAAATTGATCACATTAAACGATTCTATTAATCTCACTAATGTGATAAATGCAAATGTTTGTATGTTTAAATACTTGTTACTCAATCTCGAGAACTACTTAATGGATTTAGATGAAAAGTGTTTTATAAATAGACCATGACCCAGTTTAACACATGGATACTTTTTGTACCGGAACCGTGGGCAATGCCGCGGACAGCGCCGCAGGCGAGATATCAAAATATTTCGTGTATAAGTTTCTAAAAAAAATATTGTCAGAAGTTGTTAAATTCAAAACTGCAATTATTTATATTATTAAGGCACTCGTTTGAAAAATTGTCAGTCAGTTTGTGAATGAAAATGGTAATTTTGTGATAAACTTTGTTCGTCGTATTTACATAAGAAGTTCGGCCATATTTGTTTCGTTATGCGAATCGCATGTAACATTTGGATTCGAGCGTTTATACGATACACGATTCGCTGAAGCAAACATCGCCACAACTTCTAAATGTAAATAAAACAAATAAGTACAACTTTGTTTGGGTAATCGTAATTCGCAACATGCGTTTTCTGTCTTTGCAACACATCCTTTTATTAGCATTATTATCATGTGCGCTTTATTTAACACGTACAGACAATTCGATTTCGATATTTAAATATCTGTTAAAAAGGAACGTAATATTAAATATTAACGACTAAACTATGGACTATATGAATGGGAAAAGATAGCATTTCATACTCCAGTCTATCCTTTTAAAGTAAAACAAGCATGATGTTATGATTTGCGATTTCTATTAGCAAATGAATGGACTTGCAAATCCCCGTATATTTTTTCGTCGGCCAAAATATTCACAGAACGCAAAGCAATTCGGAACACTCACTCAATTTAAATGTATTTCTGTATACATTTGACAACCTCACTGAATACTAATGCCGGCAAAAATTCCAACTTCGTTGTATTCTGTTCAAGGCTGGTATATAAAGTAATTGTCGTTTAATGAATAAACCCCTAATTAGAATCAGTCTCAATTCTGCAAATTAAGTTTCCGCTGAGATTCAACTTAAAATTTTCCCTTTCAGATGATGAATAAGTAATAGGTATATACGACCTGTGTAGTGTATGTACTACGTGACATGTGTCCTCTTTCGGTTTATTTACTCTGTGTTCGTTTGTATGTGTGTAGTTTAGTAGAGGATTCGTTTCAAGTGTGCAATAGTGCACACGTTGAAGGTTGTGTGTGGGTAGCGTCCTTCACAACTCTTAGTGTATCCTCTGGAGGACTCCTTAAAATAGGAGGAAATAAATAAGAAAACATAACTCAGTGTTCCACTGCTCTCGTCAAGTTATTTATACCGAGGGTAATTTTACTTGGAATAGCAATATTTTAAGAATACTATTTTTGTTTTTATCGTATTGATTTCTTTGTTGAATGATTGTTGTTGCCATTTTTGAGTATTTGTGTGTGCTGTTGAGTCAAGATCAAGAGGTGCATTTAACGGATTAAGCAATTGCTAAAGGTTTTTTGATTGATGCATAGACATTTAAAATCGAACGCATTTTATTTTTACGCATTGTGTTTATTATTTTTTAATTGGAACACATTAGGTACTAATAAGTTTGGGTTACTTATCTATATCGAGATACAGAAAAGTAATTAGGTCAATTTTTAAATGATTCTCTATATTCTAATCGAAGCACATTAATAATAGCTTTGAGTTTGTTTTCGAAATCAAGATAGAAGTAAATAATTAGGAAATGTTTTTCTGCACTACAATAGCACGAATGATTTATGGAAGATCACGGCATGTGTTGTATAATAGAAACAAAATGCAACTATTTCTGCCTAGAGGGTAGAAAATATGGGCCCACTGTGCCGTTTACGGCCAGGGTTGGCACAAACAAAGCAAGGATTCGCTCGAAAAATCACACCTGGGAATGTTTTTCTGCACTTTACATGGGCTTACTACGGTGAAACAGAAAATGGGTGACTTGAATGTAGTGGCCAAAAGACCATTATCAGTAAGCTAAATGGTTTGGACAAGTTGAAAATTTGGTCCAAAGTAGGACTACTAAAGTAATTGGTTAAAATACGCCTGTAGAGGCTGCCCTACGAGAAGATAATGCTGATCTCATTGAAGATCCTAGAAATAGACCATGTGCGCGTGAACTTTGCATGAAGGTGATGGAACGTGATGTTTCTGACATTCTTTATTTTGTGGGATAATTTTGGCAAGAATTTGCGTATCGTCTAACGGTGGGATGTTTTATTATGTAGTCCCACGCAGTTTTCAATATCGTAGGCGTCATTGTCAATGTAAACAAACAAAAGTACAATACCTCTACAAACGAGGTTGATAGAAATATGCATGTAAACATGAAGTGTGTAAATACAGTATAATTCATATTCAGAAATAAATTATTTGCCGTATTAAATAGTAGTAGTAAGTATTTCCTTAATATAATAAGTTTTAAGTCTTTGACTGCCGACAGAGAACTTCAAAACGAACCCTCCGCTAACAATGGTCATCGGTACGCGTGTGGCAGGTAGCATCATACAAAAAATACCACGCGCCACTATAAGACAAAACGTAGTATTGGCCATTGTCAAATTCTATGGAGCAACGGTGCGCAAAAAAATAGCAAATTTAGCATTAGTTGCATACAAATTAAAGATCAAGCTCAATGGCGTCCTATTAGAGCCCCAATGTCCAGCAATGGATGAAAAAGTTTACATAACGGCGATGATGAAACAGAAATTTTCTCATCATCAACAGCCTATAAATGCCCACTGTTGAGCAAAGCCTCTTCTCACACGGAGAAGGTTAGAGCATTAATCACCACGCTTGCTCAATGCGGGTTGGCGATTTCAAACTTATAATTAGAAATTTATAAGTCCAGGTTTCCTCACGATGTTTTAAAACCCGTAGTGCAGAAATTTTCTATGTGGAATGTAATGCATCAGCATTTGTGCAGGAAGAACATTATTCCACGTGTGTAGCTGTAGACACGTGTGACCATGGCAGTGCATTATTGTTTGCATGTGTAGCGTGGGTGTGTCTGTGAGTGTAGGTCACCGTTATTTAGAGTTTCGGTTTCCGAATTCTCTAAATAACGGTGATCAGTAATTGATAGCCATACCCTACTACATGGGATGAGATTCTTGAACAAATGTGACTATTGGAATCTAAGTGGATTTCGTGAGTGTAGTACACCAGCGAAGATCTGCAGGTTTCTTTATGTGTGACAGTGGCAGTGAACATATTAATTTGTCATATAGTTGACTGAGTACTAACCCTGAACGGCGCCGGGAAGAGCGACGATGCGTCGGGCTCGGCGGCGTGCGCTTGCGACATCTGGTGCGCGCGCGCCTTCCGCTCGCGCTCTCGATCGCGCTCGCGGTCGCGGCCGGGCCAGGCGGCCGGCGCGCCCCCGCCGCCGCTCCCCCCGCCCCTGTCCCGGTCCCACTTGTCGTACCTGTAACAATAATATTAACTAATTAGACTACAATCTTTAGTAAAAACCTAATTATATCCATAACAAAATCTTAAAGGGTTTTCAATTAGCGATAATTGTACAAATCACCGTTTCGGTCTCTGAGTGAATTTGTTGGAGGCAATGCCCTGACTATAATAAATATGGCAAAAAAATAATCATCTGATTATTGGTGTGTTTAGAGAGAAGGCGCACAAACATTTCGCTGATTATTATTTACGTTACTTGAGTAGTAAACTAAAAAAAAATGTATTGTAGTGTTAAGATAATAAGTACGAACAAAATCCTGAATCTAATGTAAAAATTAACACTTTCCGAAATTAATCAAAACCGACATGCTAAATTGTCTGACACAATTACAGAATTACTCACACTTGTAACATAGAGCCGAGCAAAACTTATATTAAACCACATAGAGCCGTAACTCTTGACAACTGCAATATACATTTAGGCTGTTAATCCCTTTATGTAGGATACCTAAATATCTACAGTAGTGGTGTGAATAAATAAAAAGAAATAAGTAAAATCACTTCCTCATTGGAAAATTTTATTTTCACTTTCAGATGACAAGCGTTCAACGCGCGTCCAAAACGCCCAACATATTTATATTAGTGTAGTTTCAAATGATACACGCATGTGGGACTTTTTAAACGCGCGTTGCCGCGGCCGCCAAAGATCAGTAGAGGTCTTACATTTGATTTATTGATGCAGATGTCCGAAGATGAAGAAACACTTAATTTTGAATTTATATCGACGACGTGAATTGACTAGAGAACGTAGACTAAATTTTGTGCGAATATTTAGGACGGACCCTAAAATACTTCTATACTTGTCGAAAGCCCGCACTCAAATGAACAAACACCACGGAAAACAAAAGAGCCTTGCGTTGCCGCGCACTGATAAGAGTCGGGCGCTCGGGCAGCGTTCGAATGCGCGTTAGCATGCGGCGCGTACAACCTTAATAAAATGTTAGTAGGTAGTAATAAATGCGCGTTAAAAGGGAAAATCGAACGCTTGTCATGTGAACTTGCTCTAACAATTACACTTTTAGAATCTCATAATAATATGTAACCTAATTTGCACACAAATAAAAAGTTCCGCTCCGCATTCTTGATGAAAACTATTAGAGTACATACTATACTATATACTAGCGACCAGCCACGGCTTCGCACGGGTGCAATATGCATATACATATAAACCTTCAGTAAGAATCATTCTATCTATTAAAAAAAACGGCATCGAAATCCGTTGCATAGTTTTAAAGATCTAAGCATTCATAGAGACAGACAGACGGTAGATAGCGACTTTGTTTTATACTATGTAGTGATACTACATACTAAAAATTGAACCAAGGTAATCACATTTTTATTCAATATCGATGGGTAACCGAACCCTGTTCGAACTTTTGGAAAATATATTTTTGCTATTCGCTTACGGCTTTGCAGGACTGCGTTGATTCAGCCCAAGCCTGAAGCCATTCCGTTAGGGATTAAAAAGCGGTACGTGAGTAAACCTCATTCGATATTTTGGTTACCTATACACACAACAGTATTTTAAAATATACAATTCCTTAAACGCATTTTCAACTCTATTTTATTGCAAATAAATCTCCTAAAAATTGGGAGAATTTGGGGAATATTGTGTGATTGATTATTGATGTGATGGCATCTTCAAATGCTAACAATAGGAATTTAGGCGTTTTAGAAGTTCCAGTTACTACAATTAAACCTATTTTCAAAGAAATACGACGAACAAACTTTCGACTGTTTTCTTAGGTTAAAACAACTTTAATGGTTTCAGAAGACCATGAAATTCTAAGAACAATCGAAAGGAAACCATGTGAACTGAGAATTAGTTCATTATAGCGTTTATAATACAAAACTTATTGTATCGAATGTGTTAAGAAATTCAAAATGGTCGGCCTTTCTGGAATTCTATTGATGAATCATTGAATAAGGAGAAATATGTGGAATTCTGTCCAAGTATTTTAATGTTTATGCCGATAAACTAGATGACTAATCTTATTAGTTGAAGTAATTAATGATATAGGTAATTATTAACTAATGGCTTTTTCACAGTAATCCGTCTGCGATGATGGTGATAAGCGATCAGCTCCACTCATTAACCAGAAGAGATACGAGAGCATTGCCGGCCTATTAAAGAGCTGTTAAAAGTCGCATTGGATATCAAATTATGAAAAAAGATAAGAGCTCAATCCATTATTAATTAGTTATTAAGAAAAATCTCAGTGATGCAAATACCACAGAGTTTGAAATCATATCTGATGATAACTATAGGGATATAAGAAATAACATTACTACAAAACAAACGTGTCCCAAACCATGTCATAATAAGTTTTTAATAAAAAGCGCAAAGGACCGGTAGTTGTTCCCGCAGATATTATAATAAGTCTTGTTCCTTATATGTGACTACTAGTGCGTTGTACATATAACGTCCTTGATGAATGCTTAAGTGTTTTACTACGTACTATAAAACTAGTTTTCGCATCGATTCATTAATCTACCTCGTTAGTCGAGTACGAGTCTTTGGGTTAGCTAATTATTATTTGAGTAAGTTAAAAAGATAAATGATTTCGTAAATAATAATAATTATAAATGCAATATAGGGGTATGGAAAAAAGACAATGGAGACCCTAATTAGCTTGAGACGTCCCGTGGTATTTTACTTGGTATTTGACAATCATTCCTACCATTACAATAGAAGTAATAGTGTTGGTTAAATACATTTAAAGGAACAATAGACAGTATTTACACTCTTACACAAAACAAATCGTGGGAAAGGAGCAGTCCCTTTCCATAATTTATTTGTGTATTTTTGTCAATTTCTTAGTGACCAGTATGACTGATAACAGAAACTTTACACGGGCAAACAAACAGACGGATCACTTGATGGTAAACTATCAGCGCCGCCCATGGACAATATTTCAAAAACCGAATCGTTGGGAACTCAAATTCAAAACAGTTAAATGCATGTCGATATACTTGTTAGGTATGTAGGTAAAATTAATTTCAGCCCTTATAAAGCCTGGACATAATAATTTTTGTATTATTATGTCACCGATAGACGTATTGCTGTCCACTGAATCGTGTGTAATGAAGTGAAGCCTGACTGGCCGCCATTGTTCTGTCATTTTAATCAGAGCTCTGAAACTCGATGGTTACATACTTATCCTGCGTTTATGTAACGTGATCGAGTCCCAATATACCTAAACCAAATATATGAACTTGAACAATATGTGTAGGGAAAGTCGTTATGTAAACGGAAATTGATTAGACTTCTATTTTGCGTGATAATTGTTTTATGTAACAAATATTACATATTGGCTTTTAAGTAAGTATTAAATACCTTAGTCAGATAGTTAAATGCGTACTTACGACAAAACCTTAAGCCCCCATCTTACGAGAGCGTTTTTAACGCGCGTTAAAAAGTGTCGTGTGAACGGGCCCTAAAATGATACAAAATCGATTTAAATATTGCGAGTCGATTTTGTTTTATAAAATGTAAATGCAATCATACATACATAAAAAATGCACTCTATAAATAAATAAATAATTAACAGCTAACAAATACACAGCATTGGTATAAAAGTATTTATAAATAGCTGAAATAGCAGAACAGTTTCGCTTTCACCATACACCGATGTCAGTACTTCAGTAGTAAGTTGAAAGATTTATTGGTATCGGCCTCGCTCGGCGCGCCCGCGGGCGTCAATTATAATGTTCACTCGAATAAAAACCGAATAAATGCTCATACACCTGTAAATATATGGGCAAATATTTAACTTGGCTATTTTATGGGACTACTTTAATATTAATTGTAAGAAATGTGTTATAGTAGTTACATTTTGTCTGTTACCCATTTTATAACAAGGCCAGTGAAAAAATTACGTGTTTATTTTTCTATTCCGCATTCCAAACTATGTACTTTATTGGATTTTAAAAACATAGTCTCAACACTAGACTAATTTCAAATTAGACCGGGACTCTTATTTTGAACTTTGTTCGCAGCTAATGACTTTGTGTTGCGCGGTCAACGATCTATTTCAAAAACCTTTAAGGCAATCGAAGTTAGGTCTAATCGACCAAATACATAATAGGTTAAGATTAACATAACCTAACATAACGCCTTTTATCCCCGAAGGGTTAGGCGGAAGTGCACATTACGGTACTTAATAACACCAACTTTTCACAATTTAGGTTACGAGGCCTATGTAATAGGGAGTGAGCATATTGCCATATGCCGGGCACAATGCCAGACTCCATGCTACTACTAAGAATTTTTTTAAAAACCCTTACAATACAATACCCTACCTGCGAATCGAACCCGTAACAAGGGGTCTCGGGTTCGGCAATCGCACTTGAGATAGTAGGTAAGGTTAAGTTGACTTATATCATCCTTTAAGTAATAAAAGTAAATATAAAGTAAAAGAACCATAATATTTCGATTGTAACGCCATGTTTATTTTGAAACAAAGGATCTCGTTTCACCTTGGCCCTGAGTTTCTCAGAATACTCCCGGGCTTACGGCACACAATTCTTTGATATTATTTTGTTAATAGCCCTGACATAACTTTTACGTAACAACTTCTAATTTGTGACAATAACTGGGGAAATATATTTAATTAGTCACTTTGATCCACCTACTAGTAACTACAATGGGTTTTATAAGGGATAATTTTTTTAAGCGGCAATACTGATTTTTATCCGTATGCTTGTAAGCGCCACTATTTAACAAAAGATCACTTTTAGGTTCATCCCGAAGCAAGGAAAAGTATTTTTAACATTTATAATTTTTAATCATACAGAATGGATTTTTGACAGAAAGCTCAGTGTAGAAAATTAAGACTTTGACTTCCAATAAAAACTGTTGAAGGTAAATCCTCCGCTAACGCCGGTCACCGGTGACCCCCATTGCGTTTAACGTGTTAAAAAAGATCACCCACTATTAAGTGGCACTTATAT